CTGGATGACACAGGCGGAACAGGAGAGGGTCGCGGGCAAGATAAGCCTGTGAGACACACGGCCTAGTTTCTGGGTCATGTTGATGGGGAACTTGGTCCTGCCAGCGTCGTCCTGGGGAGGAAATATAGGTAAAGGTTATGTTCGTCTGTCTCCCTCCAGACGCAATTAAGGAAGACGAGTTAAGATGAAAAATATTGGGTAGCTTTTAGAATTTAATTTGGTGACAGTGGGTCTGTTTGTTGCTGGTTCTCTTGCTTGGCTGGGCGGGAGAGGTTGTCTGGTGTTGACCGAGAGGTGGCAGCTATTGCGTATATGGCCAGGCTTACCATGTTTTGCTCTCAGACACTGCTGGGCTCAGCCACGTCGCCTTGTTTTTCCCCGACACGGGAAAGTCGTCTCTCATACGGTTTTGTGCAGTTACACCCTTTTAAGTCATCCGCACCATGGCCAGTTTTTTCTTCAATATTTGAGAAGACTGTACGAGTGGATTAACAATATGAACCTAAGACTCCAAATTATTTTTTTTCAAGATGAAAAATATAACGTAGAACAATAAAGGTGCTAAAGAAATGACCCAATATATGTGTAAGTGTATTACTAAACCAAATTTTCGAATGAAACCTACATCCTTTATGAAGGTACCGTTAAACAATGGAACATTGTATACAGCATCTTGAAAAATGATGTAGGTTTCATCCGAAAATTTGGTTCAATAATACACCTAAACATGAATTGGGTCTTCCCTTCACTTTTATTCAAGTACTACGGCATTGTAGTAAGTTTATACATAGAAAACACTGTTGCAATCAGGTGGTGTTACCAGAGTGCACTCTGAATGCAGCCATGTATGCATATTGATATGGAAATCTTTGAGGCATGGAGTGACCAGAAAGCGCATTCTGCCGATTCACAGACATGATTCGTGGCCTTAACCAACTCGGTCATGATGGTAAAGGTTGACGTATCCAGAACTCTACTGAATTCACGTGGAGGTTCTGGAGGCCCCAAACTGGAGCCCAACCAGGGATTAACAGACGACCTGACCCCACACACTCTGGCTTACAGTAATGGCGTTCACACTTTCGCCCCCACTCAGATCGCAATGAAATTACAATGGTGTGATATTATCAGTGAAAATCATTTAGAAAATCATTTTCTCAAATCAATGAAATGATTTGAGAAAATGATTTTCATTGATATATCTTTATGTAAAAACGTAAATTGATATGATAAAAAATATATGTAAAACCCTGGTTGGGCTTCAGTTAGGGGCATCCAGAACCTCCCAGTGAATTCAGTAGAGTTCTGGATACGTCAACTTTTGTACCATCATGACCGAGTTGGTTGAAGCAGGTGTCTGAGAATCACCAGAACGCCGTAGTAAGTCACTTCATTGCCTCAAAATGGTTTTCATTTATGTATAATCTCAATTTCATTACATTGCGAGCATATTGATATATTTTGATCGTTTCAAGCGTGAAGAAAATGAATGTTCACAGATATAAGTAACAAGTGTGAAGAAATGCAGTCTCCGTGGTGTAGTGGTAAGACACTCGCCTGGCGTTCCGCGAGCGCTATGTCATGGGTTCGTATCCTGGCCGGGGAGGATTTACTGGGCGCAATTCCTTAACTGTAGCCTCTGTTTAACGCAACAGTAAAATGTGTACTTGGATGAAAAAACGATTCTTCGCGGCAGGGGATCGTATTCCAGGGACCATAGGATTAAGGACTTGCCCGAAACGCTACGCGTACTAGTGGCTGTACAAGAATGCTGTACTCTTGTATATATCTCAAAAAAAAAAAAAAAAAAAAAAAAAAAAAAAAAAAAAAAAAAAAAAAAAAAATGCTTATCATAGTGTGACAAGCGAGAGGCCGGAGTGGAGCCCCTCAGTATGGTCACCTTACCTGCACGTCACCACAACCAATACTCATGTTTATCATGTTCATATTACCGTCTGTTTTGTAACTAAACAATTTAGTGCCAAAAATATAATACACAAACGTGGAATTTTAAATGGGGTGGGGTTGAAAGAGTATAATCAGAATAATATAGGCCTAACCTAAGTAACATAATTAAACCTATGCCTAAACGTTGTAATATGGTAGGATAGGCTAGGTTAGGTTTTAAATTTCGATTTTCCACTTAAAATGTTTTGAGATTTCATATTTTCCCATTTGTAAGTGCTTTCGTACCATAGGTTGTAAATGAACTTGTCAGTCATGTAGTATAGCAGGACCCGGAGGATTGTTTGTGAGTGCGTGTAGTGGTGTTATAGTTCCTTCAACTGGCTTACCCGCCCACCCAGTAATTCCTCCCACATTACGGGTCAAGACTACATAGTCATCCCGGCCTCGTGGGGCCTTCTTTTCATATTTACGGTTCAAGGTTAACAAAGATTACATCGTAACTTCTCACATACGACGCCTGATTTAGTGTTTTATCCAAACAAACTTTAGCGACATCGTGACACGTACCAAATTGAAATAAGTTTATTGAGGTAAAATACACACAAAGGGATGAGGGTAGCTCAAGCTATTCTCACCCCGTTAAGTACATCGTGATAATACATAGATACACATCACAAACAATAAACGTATAACCGAATATTCTGAGAGATAAACATATATATTTCCTCCTTTACACAAGTAACACGTACCAAAGGTATATGAATTGCATAAATAAAGCGGCATTTTATTGAGCTCACAAAAGCTGCAACCGATCAGTGTATTTTATATTTTGTTTGTGTGTTTATCGATATTCCGAATAAAAATGAGGCGAGTGTGTAAAATTTGATAAGTTGTGCTTCAGGTGATCGTAGCTTCGGCAAAATAGGAAGAACTTTGTTAACCATCTTAATATTACTGAAACCCTCGCACTTTTTCAAAACACGATCGCGTTTTTCATGAAGATGTGTTGCGGGGGAGAGAAGGGGCTCTTCAGAGACCACTGTACTCGGGAATAGGTAGAGAATTGTCAGAAAGTCCCAACCGCTCGTTGGACGCCACCAGTGGCGTACAACAAACTGTTACTTGTGTTACACATATTTATGTCCTCATTTGTTCACAATGGTAATAGCTGGAAGCTTTTTACAGTGAATAACTGTTTTGTTTTGGCTTGAATATGAACGAACTGAAGTGTAGTGTAATGTGTGTGTACTCGCCTATTTCTGGTTGCAAGATCGAGCTCTTGCTCTTGGACTTTGCTTTTCTAGCCCCTGGTTGTCTAATACAATGAGTGACTCCTGGTCTATTTCCCGTTCTTATCAGCTTTTAAAGTTATGACTGGAGTTTGCCTCTACAACCTGCTACTTTAGGTTATTCCATTTACTCACTACCCTTATGCTAAAGGAAAACTTTCTAATATCTGACACATCTGAGTCTCAAACTTCCATCCGTATCCCCTTGTTCTATTTCCTTCGCCTCACCTCCCCCTATATATACTGAAAACCTTCAGTTATTTTCTTATGGGCTATTCATGCCCGTGCCACCTCTTGGGTGGCTTAATCTTCATCAATCATCAATCTACTCATCCACGGGAGACATTTCCCGTCACGCAGGGTGCAGTCGTACCTCCACAGATCTCCAGTATCAGCTCTTGATACTGGTGATGGCTCAAAAGGGCCACCACTTACGGGCTATTCATGCCCGTGCCACCTTTTGGGTGGCTTCATCTTCATTTTAACACATTCTCACGGGAGACATCTCCCGTCACGCAGGGTGCAGTCGCACCTCCACAGATCTGTAGTATCATCTATTGATACTGGTGATGGCTCAAAAGGGCCACCTCTTACGGGCTATTCATGCCCGAGTCACCTTTTGGGTGGCTTCATCTTCATCTTCTGTTTAAAACACGGGAGACATCTCCCGTCACGCAGGGTGCAGTCGCACCTCCACAGATCTCCAGTATCATCTATTGATACTGGTGATGGCTCAAAAGGGCCACCACTTACGGGCTATTCATGCCCGTGCCACCTTTTGGGTGGCTTCATCTTCATCTTAACACATTCACAAGGGAGACATCTCCCGTCATGCAGGGTGCTTTCGCACCTCCACAGATCTCCAGTATCAGCTCTTGATACTGGTAATGGCTTAAAACCACTTACGGGCTATTCATGCCCGTGCCACCTTTTGGGTGGCTTAATCTTCATCAATCATCAATCAATCAGTTATTTTCTCACGGGAGACATCTCCCGTCACGCAGGGTGCAGTCGCACCTCCACAGATCTCCAGTATCATTTATTGATACTGGTGATGGCTCAAAAGGGTCACCACTTACGAGCTATGCATGCCTGTGCCACCTTTTGGGTGGCTTCATCTTCATCTTAACACATTCACAAGGGAGACATCTCCCGTCATGCAGGGTGCATTCGCACCTCCACAGATCTCCAGTATCAGCTCTTGATACTGGTAATGGCTTAAAAGGGCCACCACTTACGGGCTATTCATGCCCGTGCCACCTTTTGGGTGGCTTAATCTTCATCAATCAATCAATCAGTTATTTTCTCACCAGCTCGATGACCAGACCACACACTAGAAGGTGAAGGGACGACGACGACGTTCTGATTATCTAAATCTAAAACGTGTTTGTTTCAAGATGGCATCAGCAATGACTACCAGAACGGAACCTACCCACATCGCGTTCAGTGTAAACATCCTGTTTCCACCCTGTCAGTCCCTCTATATATTTTATACGTTTGTGTAATCCCCCCCTCCCTCCCGTCTCCCTCTTTTCTAACGTCAGATTTAGTTCCTTTAGTCTCTCTTCGTACCTCATCCCCCGAAGCTCTGGGACAAGTCTCAGTGCAGTCTTCTAGACCTTTTCGAGCTGTTTTTCTTCGATATGGGCTCCACGACGGGGCGGCTTACTCCAAAACTGGCCTCATATAGGCGGTATACAGCCTATGAGGGGCTGTATACCGCCTCTAAACCTGTATACTAAAAGCCTCCTTATTCAAGTTCATGAAGGATGTTATGACTTGCCAGCGTAGAATATGCGGCTGATGTTATCATATTTATGAGCCTCTGGAGTTAGGTTTGGTGTTATCCTCACTCTCATGTCATATTCTTTAGTCGTTATAGGGAGGTAGTTTTCCATTCATCGTGTAATGGCC